CCTCAACAACTCGACGATTGACAAACACAGGGATGTGGTTTCAGTTCCATGTTTCACGTTTGAATATTCACAGGAACTGGATTTGCACAAACTGATTTGTTTAGTACGACGCCACCTGGGGGTAAAGACCACGACCACGACTCTCAGTTCAGCTCAGGTCGACACAAAACAGGTGGATGAGAATCCTGCTTCAGTGGGATCCACGAAACATCGATGTACGAAGTGACGCATTCATCAAAAACAGATTGAATGCATTTAAAATACGTTTTATAGATTTGTCTTAAATAAGTAAAACCGATAGAATTACTTAATTTTCGTAGGTAAAATAAAAATAAAATCAAATTAAATGACAAGATAAATAGACTTAAGAGACATGGATGGAGAGATAGAAGGTTTTTTTTTTAATCTAATAAATCCAGGTTTTTAGTTGTAATATATTTATGTTTTTTTAAAGGCTAAAGGTCATAGAGCTAATGTCTAAAAGGTTCATGAAATGATATGTTTGACAGGTCTGGGCTGCATCAGTATAACAACACCGTAGACTTAAGGAAAGCCATGAGGCTCATTAACAAAAAACAATCGAAACAATTTAGATTTATTCTGGAGAAACGCTGCTGTGTGTGTGTGTGTGTGTGTGTGTGTGTGTGTGTGTGTGACTGGCTGCAGACTGAGGGCAGATTGGCTGCAGTTCATCTGATACGGAGAATGTTCCCTTTGTCAGTGATGATAAACATCATCCGCACGTTCCAGGTGAAAGAGGAAAGTGTTTGATGGATCAGTGTCTCTGGTCTGGGATTTGCATAGACGCGTGGTTTTTTACTGCCATGGAAAAACCATGGAAGTGCAGGTTTATGTGGGGGATGTGTTTGAACGACATATTTGTGTAATGCCAAATTCAAAACACAGAGGAAGTTTCGAGAAACTATTTACAGTTACATTAATAAACTTTCTAAATTTGAAAATGGAAAATTTACAATCACGATGACCAACAAACCAACACTGAACCAAGACATTCTCCCGTCGGCCGCGGAGGTTCAAACAACCTCAGAAGGAAGTGTTTGGAAATATTTTTCTGGTTAAATATTCACCAGCTCCACCTCAACTGTACCAGACTGCAGTCAATCACCACAGGGCCGTGACCTGAGCCCTTCAGGGACCATACGGGAAATGCACGCTCACCTGAACCGTTGCTGTTTAGACCATTGAGTGGTGGAAGCAGAGGAACCTTTGGTGTCGGGACGGCAAACCCCTGAAAACTGTCAGACGACTGAGAGGACAAAAACAAACAAACAAACAAACAAACACATGTTAGTTTTATATTTATATTCATTTAAGAATATATTTCTGAGGCACCGGCAGTGAACTAATGTTCTGAGACAAGGTTGAGCTGAACCAGATGACCTGAGGACAGTTGAAGTGAACAAACCAGTTCTCTGCGACGTTCCAGGAAAACGAGACACAGCTCAAGAGCAGCGCTGCACATGGAGCTGGTCACAGTTTTTAGTTCGACGGGAACAAATGTTCATTTATTTATACATTTGCAGAGAAGAAAAAAAAAACAAGTTTGAAGAGTTTTTTTTGCATGTTTTGAAAAATGAAAATGATGGAAAAACAATAAATCTTTTATGTATGATTTCTGTTTCCTGTCTTGTTTTATTTTGAAGATTCACAGGTCGTCGTGGTAACGCCGTACAGCTGAGATATTTTGGGGAGAATCGTCACTTTATGACATCACCCACGATCAGAAAGCGGTGAATCAGTGGATACACCTACGGATTATTCACAACAACCACTCCGTCACTTAGATACAGAAGCATGTGTGTGTGTGTGTATGTGTGTGAGACAGAGAGAGAGAGAGAGGGCGAGAGACACAGAAGGGATTTAATTCTAGCTCTTTCAGCTCCGACCTCATCAAAGATAAACACAGACGGTGTTGACACAACATAAGTCCGTGTGATTTAACAGGTCGACGACCTTTGAAGGAAAGAAAACCGCTGCAGCAGCAGACGACGTTCCTACGACTGCAACACGTTAATCTGTCCTGGGCCTTTGGACTCAAACATTACTACACTCACCGCAGCTGCAGACAAAGTCATACACTGCACCACAGAACCAGTTTCTACAAAGATTTATATTTAATCACTGAGGTGAAGAGACATGACATTTAAACATTTTTACTTTCATACTATTATTATCTTTAGAAAAACAAAAATGTTTTATGAGCCAAGCTCAGTGTTTTTGAACAGTTAATATTAAAGGTCTATATTTTATGTATATGAAAAATAAATTGCTGCCAAATCACAGTACAGTCATGAAGATGACACTAGTCAATTTGTGTAAAAATGTAACATTTATGCGTTCACGTTTTCATCACTCAATTTCATTTTGAATCGATAATAAAGTCAAAATGTAATCAAACTCGAGGCTCGTGGGCCAAATGTGGCCCGTCAAGTCATTGTTTGAGGTCCACAGGGCTTAAAAAGTGTGTTTAATTGCCTTATAATATAAAGTCAAAGTTGCTGAGTTTTATTACACAGCAATTAATGATATTTGTCATTTGAATAAATAATAATTAATTGGTGTATTAATACATCATGGAGTATTTACGGCTGTACAGTCTTACAGCTACAACTGGCCCTTCAGGGGGAACTGTTTTACTGATGTGGCCCCCCCTGGTGGAAATGAGAAGATGCTGAGAAAATATTTATGATTTGATTTAAATCCCTCCGATGTAGATCAGACTTTAACACCGGAGGCTGCGCCTCGTCATAAGTCACTGCTGTGACAACTCACGAGTGGAGGGAGTGTCCCCTGAGGACGCTGTGTGTCCACTCAGATATATTTATACTTGTACGCCGTCACGGTGACTCAGGCTGGTGTGTGGCAGCGGTCCAAACCGTCCTGCCCCTGCGCTGCTGGGTGTGCCACATCCAACACACGCCACAGGCATGTTCCCAGAACACTCCCCGATCACTGAGGTGTGGAAACCAGAGCAGGGACCGTCTCTCTGTCTCAGAGCCGGTCCACGAACGCAGCGCGGAGATATAAAGGGAGGGACGCTGAATAACGCAGCGATCTGCAGCGGTGATGTCCCAGAACATCCCAGATCCACCGTGTGTTTACACAACGGTCGTTTAGGAGATGCTGCAGATTAAAGAGTCCACTGTAAACACGTCCCAGAGAAGTTAAAACGAAGGCTCGGAAATGCCGAAAAATAATCAACAGGTCTACGAACCGACAGGCGGAAAATGACTTTAAAAATCTTTAAAAATGTGTTTGATCCTTTCATCGTCTCTTCATGAAACCCTGTGTGTGTGTGTGCGTGTGTGTGTGTGTGTCAGAGATTCTTATCTTCTGTTACTTCACCCTCACAGACTACACTATGTGATGAATGTGTACAAAGAGTACATACAGTATGTTCTACACTGTCACTTCAGGGTAGTACTGCAGTACTCACAGCGTGGTGTTTGACTGTGGGCCTGGCGCGGACACTGGCGGTGCCTGACTCCAGGATGTTCGGAGAGTTCAACACCAACTCCACATTATCTGAGGGAAAACCAAACCACAGACACAGTTATTATCTGACATCTGAAGAAGAGGAGGAAGAGGAGGAAGAGGAGGTCTAGTACTTCGTTCGTTCACTGTCCCTTAGGCTAAAATCACTTTCTTACTCAAACATTTTTCTTATTCAGGTTTGTTTCAACAATGGCCTCCTCTAACTCAGCTAAGCTAGGTTTACAATGCTAATCTTAATGTCCATCTTTCAATTGGATTAGCACATTCTGGTCATTGTTCAGGTAACGAGACACCGAGAGCAGCGCGGAGGCAGAATGGTAGGTGTCACTTAGACCAGGCTGCTGGGTGATTCCCTGCACTGATTCCTATATTTCCCAAAGGGATTCTTGAGTTCTATCTATCTATCTAGTACAGAAGGAAACAGGGAGGACGCTCCTCCAGGATGAGGATTCTCTGGTCAGGAACGGTGAGTCATTCCAAGAATTCCAATCAGAAGTCTCCAGACACTGGTGTTTGGTGAAACTGGTGCGACACCTTCACATTTCTTCTCCGTTGCTCAGCTCTGTTGAATTACAACAGATTCCTCGGAACTTCATAAATGTTGAGGCAGCGCAGCCAGTTCTCCTAAAAACTGTTTGAGGAATCTGGAAGTTTCTAACTTTGAATTTGTATCTTTAAAGCATTTTTTAAAAAATTCTAAAGATTACAATAATAAACAAAACAGGAGAATTCTGTAATTACTGATCCTATCAGAGTTACCCAGCACATTCCTCTGCTTCTCCACTCCACTGTCACTCACACTGTTTGTCAAATCAGTGACTGATGAAAGACATTTTTCAGTGAGAGCCTTTCAAAGTTGACGTTCGTCATCTCACGCTCTTATCAGCAGCTGAAGGTCAAGACACGGGTTAACCAGGGAACGACGCAGAGTGGTTTTGTTCTGAAGCCACTTTTCACTTTTCACAGTTAACAGTTAACTGTTAGCAGTTAGCAACTGTTAACAGTCGCTGTTAGTCGTCTGATGTTAACACACTCCAGAGTCAAGAGTTTGTTTGTTTTTTTAAAATCAACCTTTTACCTATTCAAATCACCTTTTACCTATTCATCTATTCAGTAGTAGTTCCCATTTCCTGCTCTCAGGAAATTCTAGAAAATTCTATAAAAAAAATCTGGAGAACAACTGCGGGGTTTTCTGTGTGAAGAGCAGAAAAATAATTTGCCTTTATCTTTCCTTGACGGCTGTTTCACGCCTGACAGACTGACTACGTAATGATCACAGTGAGTTCATGTCAGAGATACTGTATCTGCTGTGAATACTACAGTCTCCAGAAGGGCGTGTACTGCTGTTGTGTAATACCACAGTATCTGACAGTAATGCTTTCTCTGCGTCCACTGTCCCCCTGATCAGGACACGGTGTCCGGGACCAGGACAGGATGTTGAAAAAATGAAGTGGATTTTTATCTGCTGAGTGATGATGTAAACCACGTGGTCACAGGTCCTGGATTCCAGGTAGCTGTTCAAGGACCCAGCTCCAAACCTACAGCCATTAAACCACAGTTTTTAAACGTTTGTTCAAACAGAAGTGCACGATCAGAGTTGAGTTTCTCTTTGACTTATTTCCTCATAGCATTACCCAAGAAACACAACACAAATCCAGAGGATCAGTCAGCGAGGAGTCGGCCCTGCTGTTGGAGCAACAACCAATACAGATTTTCTGTGGATGAATCACGTTCCTGGATATGAACGCTGTAACGACACTGATGATTGGACGAACAGAGAACCAGTGGACTGGAAAAGTAGAGTTTGGACGGATTCACTTTTCCATATTTTAACATTATATTTAGAACCAAAACGACTCCAAAAGTCATCGTCTCAACATCTGATAGTCTTTCATGCAAATTTGGCAAAACCACAAACCCCCAAAATCTATAATGTCAAACACCAGGCTGTCGGGCGTAAACCGTCCCGTCTGATGATAAAATCACACCCATGGGAAAAACTTGGAAAGTGTGTAGATAAAAAAAAGAAAAGCCAAAGAAAATATGTTTGTTTAAACCTCAGGGATTTAAATGGCTGCGGTTTCAGTTTTTTTATGATCTCACTTTATCTGCTCATTATTACAAAGAGGTGGAAATGTGTTAGGATTTACACAAGTTCTTCATCTTCATAGGACTGTAGGGCTTTTTAAAGAGTATTTCCTGTGAGTAATATTTCTGCCTTTGGAAATGATGGGATATAATATGGAAATTGTGAAAGATTTTTATAGAAAGGTTCAAGTTGTTCTTAAATTTACATTAAAAATTCACTTTTTACTGTTGACTTCAGGTGTGGTTAAACTGACTTCGACACCTGTGCAGACGTGTTGCGTCGCTAGAATCCGGTTCTGTTCAGTGTTTTCATCTTAGAAACCGAGTTAAAATACTGTCGTGTTACGTTATTCACCAAAATAAACGGTGCTGCCTTCACTGCCTGCCCTTCAATCAGCTGGTACAAAGGTCGTGTTGGCCTCAGCAGATCGGGAGTGTAAATAAAAAAGTCAGCAGTTAAAAAGTGTTGGTGCTGGGCTCACCGGACTCACCCAGGTCCTTCGGTCTGATCTTGGTGTCGAAGAGAGACTGGTTCTTTCGACCCAGAAAATTCAGCGTTCCTCTCTTCATGGTTTATCGGTGAGGAGTAAGTTCTGACGAGGAGCTTCTGTGCAGGAGGTTCTGTGGTCTTCGGGGAAGGATCCACTACTGCAGCATGGTGATCCGCGGGTAAATCCCAGTCAACCCCTCAGGTGAGCTTCACTTTCACGACAGGTGCAGCGCCAGGGAAGTGGAGCTGAGTTCAGTGAATCGGTTCAATCTGTGCTGGGACGGACGCAGGGAGAAAATGGAGCTAACTCCGCCCTCGGCGCTTTCACTCTGCCTCCCTGTCTATCCAGGCAACTCCCATCCAAACAGGTGAGGCCCTTTCAAGCACATTCCAGTACGAGCTTCACCTGTATGTCTGTGGCTGTGGCTGTGGCTCTGGCTGTGGCTGTGGCTGTGGCTGTGCGTGGACGCAGCGCTGCAGAAGCGAATCTAGAAAAAGAAAAAAAGTCATGGGGCGTCGGGTGGGATTTAAAAAAGTGGCAACATATGGTACAGGTTCTGATTTATGTAGATTCTACAACAAAAAGTTGACAAAGTACTTCAAACTTCTTTCATTAAATTTTTTTGCATGGATTAATTAATTAAAAGTTTGAATCTCTAAAAAAATGGAGCTCACAGTAAAAATCACAGCATATAATAAATCATAATATATCATATTTTTTATAATATTTTTAGCATGCCACCCATAGGAGAAATTGCAACTGTACGTACTTACTGTACTGGTGGCCAAACACGGGGAGCGCAGTCTCCATAGTGTCAACAAATAGTTAAATCATTTACTGGCATGAATATTAAAGTCTGTTAAATTGATATGTAAATATTAAAGGCACTTGTGGTTGGGAGGTAACCCTCTGTCTGGATTTTCTCTTTTTTGGATGTTTCTCGGTGCAAATTGTAATCTCACAAATGTAAATGTTCATACATTCATTTATAATGTCATATCTGATCATAATTTTTACCCTTGGGTTTTATTTTGTCATCATAAACTGATAATAAACCGTCTCGTCTCCAATTTCTTCTTTCTTGCGATCACTTTTCTAAGAAGTATTATTTGTGCTGCACTTCAACCGGTGTTGTCCTGGAGACAAACCCGACTGGTCCTTCCTGTTCCTCTGTCCCCGCTGCAAATTCATCACGTTGACTGATGCTGGCTGAAATGTAAGGAATGTAACTACAGTATTATTCTAACCTGCAGATCACTCCTTCAAAGTGGAATCAGGAAACCCATTTGCGTTAATATATTGTAAATACACTTTATGATACAAATTTTTCTACAACTTATTACTGTATCAGGTGACATCAGAATAAAAATGTATAAACGTCAGTGGGTGGGCGTGGGTCGGGGGGGGGGGCGAGATACGGGGTA